TCACAAAAAAAGTCATAGTATAGGATGTTAAAATAACTCACCAAAAATTCATAGTATAGTATGTCGAAATCACTCACAAAAAACGTCAGTGTAGTATGTCGAAATAACTCGCAAAAAAAAGTCATAGTATAGTATGTCGAACTAACCCATAAAAGTCAAAGTAAAGTATGTCAAAAAAGTCATAGTATAGGATGTCGAAATAAATCGCAGAAGGGTCATAGTATAGTATGTCAAATAAAGTCATAGTATAGTGTGTCGAAATAACCCGCAAAAAAAGTCATCAGATGGTATGGTGAAATAACTCACAAAAAAGTCATAGCATAGTGTGTCGAAATAAATCGCAGAAGGGTCATAGTATAGTATGTTGAAATAACTTGCAAAAAAGTGATATCATAGGATGTTGAAATAACTCACAAAAAAAGTCATTGGATAGTATGTTGAAATGACTCACAAAAAATTCATAGTATAGTATGTCGAAATCACTCGCAAAAAAAAAAGTCAGTGTAGTATGTCGAAATACCTTGCAAAAAAATTCATAGCATAGTATGTCGAAATCACTGGCAAAAAAAAGTCGCTGTAGGATGTCGAAATAACTCGCAAAAAAGTCATAGTATAGTATGTTTAAAATTCACAGTATGGTATGTTGAAAGAACTCACAAAAAAGTCATAGTATAATATGCTGAAATAACTCACCAAAAATTCATAGTATAGTATGTCGAAATCACTCACAAAAAAGTCATAGTATAGAATGTCGAAATAACCCATAAAAAGTAAAACTAAAGTATGTCAAAAAAAGTCATAGTAAAGTATGTCGTCAAAAATCATGAAAAAAAGTCATTGCATAGTATGTTGAAATAACTCATAAATAGCCATAGTATAGTATGTCAAAATTACTCCCAAAAAAGTCATAGTAGTATGTCGAAACAACTCATAAAAAGTCATAGTATAGTATGTCTAAAAAAATCATTAAAAAGTCATATTTTTGTATGTTGAAATTACTCACAAAACAGTCATAGTATAGCATGTCGTCAAAAATCATGAATACAAGTCATAGTATAGTATGTCGAAAAAAATCATTAAAAAGTCATAGTATTGTATCTCGAAATTACTCACAAAGAAGTCATCGTTTAGTATGTCTTCAGAAATCATGAATCAATGTCATAGTATAGTATGTCGAAATTACTCATAAAAAGTCATAGCATCAAGTCATTAAAAGTCATGGTATAGTATGTCCAAAAAAATCATTAAAAAGTCATAGTATAGTATGTCGTAATAACTCGCAAAAAAGTCATAGTATAGTATGTCAACATAACTTATAAAAAAGTCATAGTATAGGATGTCGACATAACTCATAAAAAGTTATAGTATAATATGTCAAAATAACTCGCAAAAAAGTCAAAGTATAGTACGACGGAGTATTAGGGCCACATTGAAGAAAAAAAAATTCGGAGATTTTGAGAATAAAGTCGAAATATTACGAGAAAAAACTTGTAATATTTCAAGAATAAAGTCATAACTGAGAAAAAGTCATAATATTACGAGAATAAAGTCGTAATTTAACGAGATTAAAGTCATAATATTATGAGAATAAAGTAGTAGTTTTTAAGGAAATAACTAACAACAAACAGAATATCAGATTGTCTTTCATGTCATTGTAAGTAGCTACTTAATTAGGTTCGGAACCGGCACCATGCCGGTTCTGTGTCAGTCGAAACTCCGGGCCCAACTCTGCCACTGATTGGCCAGTCTGATATTCTTCATAATACATATAGAACATTAGTGAAACACATGCGTTCGTTTGGGGACAAGTGGTCACGTTACACGTTCCACAGGCGACGGACCCCGGACACATAGCCTACAGTAAATACACCGGTTGTAGCCTAAGAAACATACGTGAGTCTTTGTGACTCTTGACTCTTGTCCCCTAACTAACGCTTGTTTCTGTTTCACTAACGATATTTTCACATGATTAAGTCACATCCCATTATTTCCTCTGTAAACCGCAGCCTACAAGCATGCTGTGTCAATAAATTAGCTCAGACACTGTTAGAAATGTAATATTTAGCCTAATAACATCATGCTACAGCAGTGATAACGTCAGCTTTAGTCAAATGGCTCCAGCTCTCCCGGTAAATGTCATAAACCATTTTCCCTGTATGTTGAGAGCTCAGAGCTGTGGCACAAGTTACGCACCGAAATCTGGCGGAAGAAAAATAATAATAAGACGAAAAATAAGTATGTGTGTGACTTATGGCTGATGAAGTGGTGGGTGATCGATGTGCCTGACGTCGATTGATTTAGAGTTTCAGCACCTCGGTAGTGGCCAGTTCCTGTTAAGATATAAACAGAATGAAAGTGGACAAGGTAATTACAGAACTTGTCTTGAGAAATAGCTTTCAAATTGAATCAGAGATTAAATGCATTTTCAATTGAGGCAACTTTTTAAATTAGGCTATTGCTTTCTTTTCACTCTCTGCATCCATTTAAGATTTTACTTACTTACTCTTTAAGAAACTCTTAACAGGAGCTGGCGACTACCGCGGTGCTGAAACTAAATCAATCGATGTCAGACACATCGATCACCCACCACTTCATCAGCCATAAGTCACACACATACTTATTTTTCGTCTTATTATTATTTTTCTTCCGCCAGATTTCGGTGTGTAACTTGTGCCACAGCTCTGAGCGCACACAGGGTCTTCATAAAACATAGATTCAAGATTCAATATGCACAGTAAGGACACGCGTTTCCCTGCAGAATGAAATTCGTTCTTTTCTGTCACCAATTAACGCCAAACAATATAAATCTGAAGTATGAAATAGATCAAAATATATACGGCGCGCACTGTTTTAATATCTCCTTGCTTAGGCTAGTGTAATATTAATGTGCCTGCCGTGGCTGGATCTGTGAGCGTTTGGTGGCTAAGAAGACTGTTAAGAGTGGGTCAGCTCGATCTTACAACTCCTTCTTAGTGAAAGATCTTCTTAAGCTAAGAGCGATCTGGGAAACGCGGCCATTATCATGTCAACATACAGGGAAAATGTGTCCAGAGTTTATGACATTTACCGGGAGAGCTAGAGCCATTTGACTAAAGCTGACGTTATTACTGCTGTAGCATGATGTTATTAGGCTAAATACTACATTTCTAACAGTGTCTGAGCTGATTTATTGACACAGCATGCTTGTAGGCTGCTGTAACGTTAGGTTTACAGAGGAAATAACGGGATGTGACTTAATGGGTTGAAAATATCGTTAGTGAAACAGAAACAAGAGTTAGGGGTTAGGGGGTCCCCTAGTTAGGGGACAAGAGTCAAGAGTCACAAAGACTCACGTATGTTAAAAGTTACTTAGGCTACAACCGGTGTATTTACTGTAGACTATGTGTCCGGGGTCCTTCGCCTGTGGAACGAGTAACGTGACCACTAACTTGTCCCCAAACCAACGCATGTTTCTGTGAGGCCTATGTGTTTCACTAACGTTCTATATGTATTATGAAGGATATCAGACTGGCCAATCAGTGGCAGAGTTGGGCCCGGAGTTTCGACTGACACAGAACCGGCATGGTGCCGGTTCCCGAACCTAATTAAGTAGGCTACTTACAACAGCATGAAAGACAATCTGATATTCTGTTTGTTGTTGGTTATTTCCTTAAAAACTACGACTTTATTCTCGTAATATTATTACTTTAATCTCGTTAAATTACAACGTTAATCTCATAATATTTCGACTTTTTTCTCGTAAAATTATGACTTTTTCTCAGTTATGACTTTATTCTCGAAATATTACGAGTTTTTTCTCGTAATATTTCGACTTTATTCTCGAAATCTCCGATTTTTTTTTCTTCAATGTGGCCCTAATACTCGTCGTAGTATAGTATGTCAACATAACTCATAAAAGTCATAGTATATTATGTCGAAATTGCTCACAAAAACCTCATAGTATAGTATGTCTTCAAAAATCATGAATAAAAGTCATAGTATAGTATGTCGGAAAAAAAGAATCATTAAAAAGTCATGGTATAGTATTTAGAAATTACTCACAAAAAAGTCATAGTAAAACATGCCGTCAAAAATCATGAAAACAAGTCATAGTATAGTATGTCGAAAAAAATCATTAAAAAGTCATAGTATAGTATGTCGGAATGACTCATAAATAAGTCATAGTATAGTGTGCTGTAATAACTAATAAAAAGTAATAGTATGGTATGTCGTCAAAAATCATGAATACAAGTCACAGTATAGTATGTCAAAACAAAATCATTAAAAAGTCATGGTATACTATGTTGAAATAACTCATAAAAAAAACTCATAGTATAGTATGTCGAAATTACTCACAAAGAAGTCACAGTATAGTATGTCGTCAAAAATCATGAATACAAGTCATAGTATAGTATGTCGAAATTGCTCACAAAAAAGTCACAGTATAGTATGTCAAAAAAATCATTAAAAAGGCATAGTATAGTATGTCGAAATAAGTCATATAGTGATATTATTGTATGTCGAAATTACTCACAAAAAAGTCATAGTATAGTATGTCAAAAAAATCATGAAAGTGTCATAGTATAGTATGTCGAAATTACAAAAAAGTCATAGTATAGCATGTCGTCAAAAATCATGAAAGTGTCATAGTATAGTATGTCGAAAATACTCATAAAAAGTCATAGTATATTATGTCCAAAAAAAAAAATCATGAATCAAAGTCAGTATAGTATGTCGTCAAAAATCATGGATAAAAGTCATTGTATAGTATGTCGAAAAAAATCAGTAAAAAGTCATGGTATAGTATGTCGAAATAACTCATAAACAAGTCATAGTATAGTATGTCGAAAAGAAAATCATTAAAATTCATAGTATCGTATGTCGAAAATACTCATAAAAAGTCATAGTATATTATGTCCAAAAAAAAAAATCATGAATCAAAGTCAGTATAGTATGTCGTCAAAAATCACGGATAAAAGTCATTGTATAGTATGTCGAAATAACTCATCAACAAGTCATTGTATAGTATGTCGAAATATTTTTATTAAAAAGTAATTTTATAGTATGTCGAAATTGCTCACAAAAACCTCATAGTATACTATGTCGTCAAAAATCATGAATAAAAGTCATAGTATAGCATGTCGTCCAAAATCATGAATAAAAGTCATAGTATACCATGTCGTCCAAAATCATGAATAAATGTCATAGTATAGACAGTTATGTCTAGTCAGCTGTTAGCTATATTATCTTTCAGGTAACTACACTGAATAAGATATCGAGGATTTATTAGCTGTTAGGTGCGTCATCTGTCAGCCAGTTTCATCAGCTCTTGATGCTAACAGTGAATTATGTACGACCTGAAAAGAATGCAAACTGTACTCAACAAATTATCAGGAGAAAAGATGAATTCTTTCATTGTTGGCAGCTCATATTATTTTCTCCGTGAACTACAATCAGGAACTGTTTATTGTGAAACTGGTTTGCACATACACAGAATATGGTGCAGAACAATACACTGTGCAAAAGTCAAGAGACATCAAATATAAAAATATGACAAACAATAAGAAATACATGATGTTTTTAAAGTGAAGGAGCCATGCAGTTAAGACAGAAATATGTGGCTGTGCTTTGCCTCACTGACAGAGAATATTTACCCCCTCAGAATATCTGAGTGTCACATCACACAGTCTTCACACACAACTAGTGTGTGCTGAGAAATAATTACTGTATATAAAAGAATAAACACAAAACAAGAAGGAAACATTTCCAACTATCAACACACATAAATGTTTCAACACTTCCCCAGCTGATCATTCGAAACATTCAGCATCAGAAACAGGCAGCTTTCAGTCAAACCCAGCTATGAAGGTTTCTGTCACCCCAAGAAGAACGACACACGTTAAAGACAAAACACAACAATATGATACAGAACCAAGAGTCCTCAAGGCTGAAAAAGCCAAGCTGCATTAAACAATATTTGTTTCTCTTTTTATCATTGACATCAGAGGCTGTAAACATGTCAAAGGATGTGAAGCAGTATCTCTAAATATCAGGTGTATAAGCTCCACTCAGACATCTGCTGTTTTTCTGATTCTCACATCTGCCTGATGCTCCAGCTGCAGCTTCGAAAGCTTGAAAGTCCACTTATTAAAACCTTTCATTCAAAGATGACAATAAGTAATGTGAAACAGTCAGCTCTTACAGAGATTCATCATCACACTCCTCAGTTTCTTGTTTTTGCTTCAGCTTAATTTCAGCACTCTGGAAAGATGTGGATCCACCTCACAGAGAGCAACGATCAGAAGTGAACTGGCTTCAGTTCCCTTGTTCCGCACCGTGTCGATCACATGTCGTGCTTTGTCTGCTCTGAGTTTTGCTCTGGCCGACTGCATTTCATCATCATTTATAACCTGACGCTCCAGGAGTTTATCCAGAAGCTGGTTCAGATTAGGATCAGACACTCTGTTTACAAACTGTGTCCGAACTGAGAACAGCCTCTGCTCTGCTGGGACGCTGTCCTCTGCTGGGACGCTGTCCTCTGCTGGGACACTGTCCTCTGCTGGGACCCTGTCCTCTGCTGGGACACTGTCCTCTGCTGGGACACTGTCCTCTGCTGGGACACTGTCCTCTGCTGGGACACTCCTCTGTGGAATTTCCCTTCTTGAACCTGGAAGATAAGCGAGGAAAGACATTTATATAATAACCAATAATCACTAACACATGTGGCTGCGTATCACCAGTGATTTCCTGATTTGATTTAATCTGATGAAGGATATTTCAGCTACAATATCAATACTACTTGAATATGAAAGCGACTCTGAGAAAACTAATGTTTTTTTTTGTTTTTTTTAAAGACATTTTTTGGGCCATTTTGCCTTTAATGGACAGGACAGACAAGCGTGAAGGGGGGAGAGAGAGAGGGGATGACATGCAGCAAGGGGCCACAGGTAACAGCCTTGTACATGGGGCGCCTGCTCTACCACTAAGCCACCGACACCCCGAGAAAACTAATGTTGTAAATTACACAAGAAAATGTATTTTTTTAGAAGAATGAATTCAGAATAGAGTTCAAATATAATATTTTCATGATGACTAAATATTTCTCGAGCAGCAGCAGTAATGTTTACAACAGCAAAGTCACTATATACATTTAATGATATCTCACTGGAAACAAATCTGAAATGTCAACACCATAACAGGCCTCACAATACTGAGTGATGTTTACAAAGGATGAAGAACACAGACATGAGCCAGTATCTGTAATTCCCCCTGTCCTCTGTCCTCCTCCCTCTGCTGCTCAGGTGAGTCACTACCTGCAGGTTACGCTGGTCAATTTTCAGATAAGTGGCAAACCTGTTAGGTTTGTAGGTCAGTTGAAATGAGGACCCAAAGTCAGAGCAGTGGGCAGGTGGATTTGGAACAAAAGGCAGGTAACTGAAAGTCCAACAGAAAGAGGAACCAAAACTAAACTAAAAGCCAAGTGAGATGAACACAAGAGAGCAGACAGGAGACGGAGCAGAGGCACCATGATCACGGGGATGAACTGACGGGGGAAACACTGGGCTTTAAATACACAAGGGCTGATTACTTACTACACACAGGTGAGTGAAACAAGACACAGGTAAAACACATGAGGTCATCCACAAAGGCCAGAAAACTCAGGAAGTAAAAGTAACACTAAACAGAGTGAGACCACATTTCAAAATAAAACAGGAACTGGACACAAACACATGAACATTAACTTGACAGAAAACAGGCGGCAAACGGACAAAGGCAGGAAGTGAACACAACATGACTCATGAGGAGAGAACCACTGCCTGCACCCTCTCCCTACCCACAACCACTCTGTCTCCACGCTCACGCCACGTGTCACGTGTCCACTACACAGAGTGCCGTCCCAAACTGACTAGCAACATGAATCCAATAAAAGTGAGACAAACAGACATAAAGAACATAAAATGGGAGTAACTTGACTTTTCTCCATGGTTACCAAACATAACAACAGCTCCTTTACCTCCTCAGAGAGGGAGGAGTGTCCCACAGTTTGCTGCTGTATTTACATCCTACACCTTGATGTAGGAGCTTCATTCAGCTGTGAAGGAGACACTGACACTCTGAGACAGAGTGGGAGTGGGTAGGGTCCAGATCTGAAAGGCCCAACCTGTAAAACAAATCAGGAAACAGACTGAAGATGGATGAATATCTGAAACAAGGAAAAACCCCATTGGCTTTTTGACGAGGGAACCAGGGCGACGCTAACTTCAGGGTCAGCCAACAGAAAAACGTTGTAAAGACGTTGTCACGCTCCGTTTCTCTGTATCTATCTGTCTGTATCTCTGTATCTATCTCTCTGTATCTCCGTATATCTCTCTCTGTATCTCTGTATCTATCTGTCTGTATCTCTGTATCTATCTGTCTGTATCTCTGTATCTATCTCTCCGTATCTCTGTATCCATCTCTCTGTATCTCTGTATCTATCTCTTTGTATCTCTGTATCTATCTCTCTGTATCTATCTCTCTGTATCTCTGTATCTATCTCTCTGTATCTCTGTATCTATCTCTTTGTATCTCTGTATCTATCTGTCTGTATCTCTGTATCTATCTCTTTGTATCTCTGTATCTACCTGTCTGTATCTCTGTATCTATCTCTTTGTATCTCTGTATCTATCTGTCTGTATCTCTGTATCTATCTCTCTGTATCTCTGTATCTATCTCTCTGTATCTCTGTATCTATCTCT